CAGCCCCCCAAAATATCACAAGCAAATTTCAAGTATCATATAGAATTCTAAATCTACAAGTTGTACCATGGAAAACTATATACGGAATATTTTTTTCTTACTGCACGAAAATGAAAAAGGATTAAAATTTAATTTTTTATATTAACCATTAAGTAGTTACTCAGAGATAGCATTTAAATTTATATATTATGTTACTTAACTAGCAATGATAAAAACTGTCTTAAGTCTTATGTACCATATACATATGAAACAAAATATTTACAAGAGAAATCAGTCCATGGGCCCACACTCTATCCACTGAGCCAAACAGGCTAGGGCTACAAGAGAAGTTTTTAAATCCTGTTTTTTAAAAAAACCATGTCCTATTGTATACTCTTCTTTTGCTCCATTCTGATTTATGTTTAATATCCCAAGTTAGGCAAACTAAGTGATTAAATACAGCAAAGTAAAGTGTTCCATCCTAAAAAATAATATTCAAAGGAGTTCTTTGCAAGGTCAAATTGAACAGGACACGCTTTACTAAAAGAGTACACAATGAAAAGACAAAATTATTTTGGTAATCACGAATTTAAGGTTTCTTTTAAATTGGCTTTTAGTAAAGACAGACATTTACAATCATGAAATCTCATCACGGGTTAGAAAATGCCAAGTGCTATACCTTCCGTGAGTCGAGCCTTTCCTCCTGTCGGCTGGCACAACACTGTTGAGCAACCTACGCACAGAACCACCGTCTGAGCGTGGCTGAAAACTGTGGTGATCTTGTAGCAACCTGGAAAAAGGGCAGTTAAAGTGAAAAGCAGAAGAATACACGGCACTTGTTCAACGTAACTCTAGTAAAGACCTTGTGAAAGATGAAGTACTCTAGTGCTGTGCAATAGCAAACCACATATGCAACAAACGTGTCTAGTAGCCACAAACTTGTTAAATATTATTATCTCAACATGTAACCAATACATGGGGGAGGGAAGCTACACCTTCAGAATCTGGTGTGTGTTTTGCACTTATAGAATATTTTCATTTTGAGTAGCCACATTTCAAGTGTTCAGTAGCCACACATACAGCTAATGACCGCACCGCCACACTGGGCAGCACAGCTTTACCCTCAAGAATCAACATACATTGCATCATGAAAAAGCAGCTCATCATCTCATCAGCTTGAAGACTTAGTACATCAAATGCCATATTCCCTGGGGAGCCCCATCTTCACCCTTCACCCCTGACCGACCCCCACCCCGAAATGTTTCTATCGTGGTCTGAATACGTTTATGATGAAAACACCCAGTTCTGTAACCCCACTTCTCCTCACCAGAGGGTCCTAAGGTGCCAAATACACACGCCACACTAGCAATCCCCATAGGAATTTTCATTAGGAAAGAATTAAGTTTGAAACTTTACCTGGGCATTTTACATCCATAAAATAAGAATTTGGACTCTGAACTAGCCGTTTCTTTTTATGTTTTTTCTTTTCCTCTTCCAAGGACGGGTGTAGTAAATCTCGAGCCAACTGAATAAAAAAGCACATGATTACTACCGGAATGAAACCACAGCGCCGGCAGATGCGACCGTACGCGAAAAGTACACGCAAAAAGCAGTCCGATCGGCAGAGGCCACGCCCCGGGTGTTGCTCGGTGGAGCTCGCTAACCCTCATCCGTACTTTTCATGACGTTTGCGTCCCCCGGCCCCGGGAACGCGGCTCTCCGGCCACCGGGAAACATATGGTCAGGTTCACCCGGTTCTCCTCGGCCCCACTGAGTAACCGTCTCCAATAAAAAACACCCCTGCGGTGCCAAGTCGGGGACGGGACCGCCACCCCGGGCCCTCCGGGTCCGACCCGCGGGGGGGGTTGCGGACACCAGGGCTCGACGTCTGCCCGGACCGCGCCCTGCGTGGAGGCGGGCGACCGCCCTGGGCGGAGCTCACGA